AGGTTCTACAAACCATTATATATTCCCTGATTATAACTTGCTTTAGCCATACTTTAACTTTCCTTTCCATCAGGAAGAAATCGACTAATAGAAGAAAGTCCTTGAACCAGCTTTGTTTTGTCATCCTAGCAAATAGCTATCTTTTGAGCAAGGCGTTGAAAGCGCCTTGCATATCTATAATAATTATAATTACTTTCTTGCCAGCCTCTAGTACTGTTTTTATATTGTATGTGAAGGATACTACCAGATCCATCGCAGACCGCTTGGACAAGACTTCGCCATATTGGGGATTGATGATATCGTATTTTAGGGTTGTCCAGTCTAGGCATTTGGCAATTATTCTTTTTAGACCTTTTCCTATACAGGAAAACAAAGTAATAGGTTTCCATGATCTTGCGGATGTCATATCCTTTTTCCCAATTTTGAATAGTATAGTTATTTCAGTTAACTTCCAGGTTTTCGGGAAGTGGCTGTATTCGAGGTATTTCTGGTAAAGCTGTTTTAGTAAATCCTTGAGGTATTCCTAACAGGCCTTGAGGATTCTAACTGTGATTTAATCAGTTTCTAGGGATATACTAGATACTTTAATAATACTTACTTCGATTTCTTTTAATATAAACCAGGAGTTCCAGGGTAAATGTTTGTTTTCTTTCTATTGGTTTTCTAGTGGGTTGTACTCCAGGTTGTTTTTCGTACTAAAGCGGTCCAGGATTTCAGTTCTGAGTGCTTCGGCTTTTTCTATCAAGTCTTCTATCACTACTCCGTTTGAGATGATTGAGAGGCTTTTAAGATTCGGGGCTAGCTTATGCTAGCCGACTATTTTATACAAATCTTTGTTACTGGAGATGTTATCTATAACATATCTCCAGTAGTTGTGTTTGACCGCTCTAACTATTGTTTTAAAGTCTTTTGTTACCGTGATAGAAGGGCTCTCTGATGTAGCTTATCTGCTCAGATACTTAATATAAACCCTTTTGTATTCCGTTGTCCACCAGGGTGTTGCCTTGCCTTTTCCTTTGTCTATGATTTCTACCACAATCATTGTTTGTTTGATAATTTGTATAAATTGTTCAGTGAAGTTATCTATTCTTTCTGGAGTATTGAGGATATCATTTGTGAGCAGGTATACCACTCCGTTTGCTATTAATCCCACTAGTTACAGTAGTTCTGTTTCCAGGATACAGATGTTATATTGATCTAAAGGCTTGATACCTCTACCAGATATTATTGTTACCAAAATATAATGATCCGAGTCATTGTATAGATTGTATCAGACCCTGGTTTCTGTAAATAATACATTAGAGAATATAAAATCAAATATATTTTCTCCTATATAGATAGATGCTCCTCTTTCTCCAATATATTCTAGTTCAGCCAAGTCTGCCTATACTGCTAATTCGTTTCTTTCACATTAGTTTTCCGATCTAGATTGCTATATTTTATATATAGTATTAAAGTTGTTTTTAATAAAGTATTCTGGGGGTGATTATAGTTTAATAATATATATTAGTATTTGTTTTGTTTGTAATTATCGATATATATTTAATATAAGATACTCGTTTATATTTATCCAGAGTATATTATAGCTTTTGATTGGCCATTGTGACGGAACAGACGGCTCTCTTCCGCCCACTGGCTCATACTACATACATAGTATGATATGACGGCTCTTTTTGACCTTCCTTTCACAGCTTAGAGCCCTAGCTCTATAGCTCTAGACCTAGGCATCTTACGCCTAGGACCCTTTCACCCTTTTTGGCCTAGCCCTTATGGCTCCCAATACCTGTATATATAGTCCTCCTTTTAGCACCCTACATAGCTCTTCACTTGTAGATTCTAAGTACACAATCGGAGTCCTGTTTATACCCTTTTGGTCACAATATTATTAAATGAAAAAGTTATTGCAAATCTGGTTGAATTGTTTTTTAGTAATTTGTTAGATTATATATTTAATATAGTATTCTTTAGTAATAGCTTCAAATGTGGTAAGCAGGTTTTGAAGAAAGTGTTAAGTAACAGAATCAGTATTTTTTGTATTAAATAGATTAATCAGTACTAGGGTTGGGTTATAAAGAGGAGTATTAGAAATGAGTATATTAGCGATATAAGGTTAATCTTGGAATATTTGATAAATATATGTGATTAAGGTTTTATATATCTTAGTTTCAGAAGCAGATGTATTAGGGTTGGTATTATTGGATATGGCCAATGAATTTGTTATATCAACCATTGTGATAATTCAAATCGAAGTCGGAATCAAGATTATCAAATTAAAATTGTTGTGTATAAGTAAGTATGATCAAAGCTGGGCTGTTATTGACAGCAGGGCCTTTTAAAGGGTCAAATATACTATTACAGGGCTGATACAGGTTCTGGTAGGTATTAGATAAAATATATAATATTCGATAAGAAAAGAAGAAGGCACGCGGAGCAACACTGACTATATGGTGAATGGATGCCTAAGGCATCCATCCGAGCTAGCTAGGAACGGGTAGTAAGAATGGTAAGGATGGTAAGGGTGGTAAGGGTGGTGAACCCGTGACAATATGGGATATATATGGTGATAGGAATAAAAGATATATATTGTATTCAAAGTATTTATATATAAAGAATATAGTTTTATGATTTCTATGTTTATTTAATATAAATAATTATGTATTACTGAGCTTAGAAAGAGTAATTTGAGGTATAAATACCTTTTCTAACTATTCTAACCCTGTAATATCAATAGTTCATCCATTTTCTATAACAATAAAATTCCAATCCTTATAAAAACCAAAATCAATAGAAAAACTATTGTTGTTGAACAGTTTTCCTTTTAAAAATAATAAATAGTTTGAGGACCTTTTCTATCGCCAAAATATATTCAATAAAAGATATCCAAACTCTTAAACCAGGTTGTTTTTTTGAATATAATAATACTGAGAGTTTCCTATTACTAGATTGTTAAGACCCTAACCCTTCATTATACTAATCTTGTTTACATTATATCGATTTTGTGGTTTTATATCAATAATCTCAGGCAATTCGAGTTTTCGAAATTATAGTGTAATAATATTATAGAAAGTATCCGAAACTTAGGCAAAATCGATTCTATATTGTTTTTTAGTTTTAATCTCTAGATTCTTCTCCAAAAAATTGTATATCCATTGTTTTCCAAGGATAAAATCGAGTTTTTTTATATCAAGAAGATCTTCAATAATTTCTTGAATTTGCTGATGAGTAGAACTAGTATCTAAGCTCTTTTATATTAATATCTATTCTATTAAATGTCTCTCCTGAATTAGGGCAATCTTTTGCATCATTTCGGAACCTTTTTGATGGGATACACAGTTATTGATACAACCCTGAAATATAATACAAGAAATCCCATATTCCAAAGTAGCTTTTCGTATTGAAATATTATTTACGATAGTATTTAAAGTTGTAACAATATCGTCTTCAATAAAGAGTTTCGATATTATATAAATAATAGTAAATCAAAATTTGAAATCAATTGATTGAATAGTTGTTTAATCAGAAAATATTTAAGAAGATAGGTTGCTGAGGCAGTGTGGGTTTTGAGGGTAGCCGAAAAGGGGGGGGGTGGCCGAAAAGTGGGGTAGTTGATTTATTACTCAAATATTGTCACTATAGTATATAGTATAGTACTACGAGGATAATGAAGAGAGAGAATGAAGAGAATACAAAGAATAAAGAGAATGAATGAATGAATGAATGAATAGATAAATAAATAAATAAATAAATCTATCCATCCACATCTAATATAATCTATAATCTCTCAATTAATGTATATTATTATAGTATTATATAGAACTAATCCTCTCTCTCTATCTCTCTCCACTTATTCTCTTTCTTTTCTTCTTCCCTTCTATCTCTTTCTCTCTCTCACTCTCTCTCATCCCCTCCTCCCCTCCCATACTCTCATCTCCTCCTATCTTATTCTATCCTCCCCTCCCCTCCCCTCTCATCCCATCTCATTATCCCAACCCATTTCCTCCCCCTCTCTCTCTTCTTCCCATTATAATTCATCCTACCCTTTTCATTTTCACTTCATTTCTCATCCCAACTCATCCCAACTCAAACCATCCCAACCCAATCCATCCCATCTCAATCTAATTCATCCCATTATATCCAGACTCTATTTTTCTATTTTCCTATTCTTTTATTTCAATACCTTTTATCTCTCTTCTCTTCTCTTCTCTTATACTAATCACAAATCTTATTCCATTCCATCTTTTTATCTCTCCACCTTATTTATATTTGATATCTCATTCCATTCAATCCCATCCACTTATCCCCTCTCATCTCACTCAACCCATTCATTAAAATCTTATCCCATCTCCTCATTCCTCCTCTCCTCTCTCCTCCTCTCCTCTCCTCTCATCCTATCTCAACCCATCTCAACCCATCTCATCCCATCGCCCCCCCTTAATCTAATATCTTCAACCCATTCCATCCATCTAAATCACCTACCTATCAAACCTCATTCTTTCATTTTTTCATTCTTTCTCTCATCTCATCTCACGGACTGACATACATACATGCATCCCATTTTTGCATCCTCTCATCTTATCCTATCTCATCTCATCTCATCTCATTTCATCTCACCATACTCTCATCTCCTCTCCTCCCATCCAACCCAAAAAACCGAGTACCAACTTGAAGCAACATCCCAATATCCCAAACTACATCAAAAGTAACCACATCAAAAGTAACCAAGTCAAGCAAGCCCTTGAAAGTACCAATTGTATTCATAATTTCATACCATAAATCATTTTCATTTCATTTCATCCCCATCCATCACAAGTAATCTACCTACTCCAGTAGTATCTACCTCCACCAAGATAATTCCGCCCTATCTCGCTTCAAAGTTCAAAGTTCAAAAGTATACTTTAACATCTGAAGCTCCGAGCAAATCATCACACCACATCACATCACATCACATCATCTTTTACGACTCCCAATCCGACTCCCATTCCTCCTCGAGCCCACATAATCTAATCAAAAACAATAGCCGCCTTAATAGCACTCTTATTTCTAATAGATTCCAACGCCTCACCCCATTGCTCCAGCTTAAACGTCTTATTAACAATCCCCTCAACCTTAACCTTACCCGAATCGAGATAGTCAATAGCAGCAGCTATTCATCCATCATTAGTAACAGCACAAATATCCAATTCCCATGAAGAGGTGGATTGGAATACTCACGGAACATGTAAGTCTCCGAGAAAGAACCCAGAATAGTAATCTCATCACCGAAGATCTTAGATGGTGGCCAAGTAACTCTAGCAGAGCTATTATAGACACCATAGACGACGAGCTTACCTCCACGACGAACATAATTGATAGCATCCTCGAGGATCTTAGCGCTTCCGGTAGCTTCCACGACGATATCGAAGCCATATTTATACTCATCCTTAATTTGCTGGAATTGAACTTCTGGGTTCTCACGCGAAAGTTCAATATAGATATCAGCAGCATCGAGTTTCTTTGCAAGATCCAATTTCAGACCACCGGGGGCAGCGAGAACAACCTTGCATCCACCATTTTGTCTGAGGAGTTGAGCGAGCACGAGGCCAGTTGGTCCAGCACCGAACATGAGAACTGATGAACCCATCTTGGGAGCAATCTTCTCAAGACCGTGAGCCGCGCAGGAGGCTGGCTCAAGGAGTGTAGCATCGATATCGGAGAGGTTTTCGATCTTGAAAACTTTGGCGGCTGGGTAGGCACAGTATTCTGCGAAACCACCATCTAGATTGACCAATGACTTAGCTTTGAAGTTCATTTGGAATGAACCATTGAATGAGCTTACCCATAGTAACACCGTGAGCATTAAAGTTCTCGCAAAGCAAGAGTTGACCACGACGGCAGTAAAAACACTCCTCGCAAAGTTCAGAGTTACTATATTGAAGTTAGTATGTTGTATGTATACAGACATAATTGAGGAATACTTACTCGGCTACAACTCTATCACCAATATTGAAGCCCTTGACCTTAGGTCCAGTGGCAGCAATAACTCCGACAGTTTCATGTCCTATAAAACTTTAATATTAGACAATAGCGAATGTATAACAATATAGCAATATAACATAATAAATCGTTGTTTCCGCCAAGACACGCAATTATCTCTAGCAGCCAACCAAAATCGAATATTCGAAGCAAGGAGTTAAGAGTAATATAATAGCGTACCAGGAATAAGAGGAAACTAAAATATAAATACGTCATATTAGCCTCTGCTTTGTATACCCATAAAACCATTAAAATCGTCCCAATATGTTTAGCCCCAAGCACGCAAACATCCAAAGCACCCATCTCAATTGGCGAACATAGATAACATCATTCATAGTGGAAAAACAAAGCACTCCCCTTTCTTTCAATTCACTTGATATATATAAAGAAAAGTTACAGTATCTCACATACCTTTGCAATGAATTCTCCATGATGAATGTGTAAATCGGTTCCGCAGACACCACAGGCCTTGACCTTTACCAAGACATCGTTATCACGGAGCTTTGGGAGAGGAACCTCGACGATTCCGTAGACTTCTGGCTTGGAGTATCTATTTGAGTTTATTTATGGTTAGCTTCGATGTTTTATAGCTTCAATGTTTTATAGCTTCAATGTTTTGTATGTTTGGCTCTCCTAGTGGAGGTTCAAGATGTGTTTGATGCTTGGTACAGTGCTATTGACGCTGTACCTTAAAAGTGTTGACGGTGAGCTGAAGTAAGATATTGTACATACCTCAAAGCTTTCATGGTAGTTGGAAGAGACATATTGAGTGATATGTTTTTATGATTGGGAAGAAAGTGAAGGAGTGATGAGAGTATTTGGGTATTTGGGTATTTGGGTATTCCTGAAAGGTTGTGAATGTATCTTGGAATGGGTATGAAGAAGAAGAGGAAAACGAAGAGAGAAAGAAAGAAAGAAGATTTCTGTTTGCTTACCCTCTTATGTAGTAAGGTACCTACCTACCTACCTACCTACCTAGGTAAGTATCAAAGTACCTAGATGGAAAGGGAAGGGACAGTACAGGCTCATGGTGTCAAGGTGGGGTATGTTCCTGTTTGGATATATCGCATGGCATGATATGAAATGCCCTGCCCTGCCCTGCCCCGCCATCCATCTTACTCATTTGGTTAGCTGAGCGGTTCGCTCCTTTGCTATTGGGCCTAGAACAAAGTTTGAAGTATGGAGCTGGTACGAGTTCGAGCTCAACTCATTGATCATATGCACTTAAATAATACCAGGTACTTTACCGAATAGCTAGGATCAGTTCAGTTCAGTTCATAGTTAACGAGGAGAGTCTAGTGGAATACTGTATATTCGATTTTTATTATTGAGGATTGAGAATTAAGAGAATGAAGGGGAAGTAACAATAAGTATTCTCAATAAATGTATACAGTACAAGACTCTCTCTAAATCCATCCAACGCTAATGCAAAACCCTGACAAGCAAAAGCGCATACCCAAGGCATTCGGCGCCAATCGGATTTATATTTTAGAAGCCATTTTAACGCCACGAAAGGTAAAAAGGATAAGATGTTTGCATACCTAACCCCATGTTCTCATGTCTCGTGCCGCTTCCCACTCCCACTCTCCACTGCAAGAAACCTCACTCATCTACCTTAACATACTCGAGTACAAGTAAACTTTGAATAGATTTGTTGCCAAAAATTAATAAACATAAAGATTAGAACAAGACCAAACACAAGTACGACGACGATGACGATACCGATATCATTAGCTACCTACCTATGTAGCGAAGATCAGCTTTTGTGGGAGTGTTTAAGGTGGGGTTGACGTCGGGAAAGATCGTGGGGATATTTGGTGGGGTACTTTCAGCTTGTTGGAGTTGGAAGCTTTCATATGAACTTTGTGGCAGCTATCATGATCATAATTATGGTATGATCACCTTCCCCTTCTTTGGCTTTCCCTGACTGAAAGATCCGAGTTCGGTCTGGCATTAGAATGTATTTCCCTTGTTAAAGTCCGGAATCATTAGGTAATGGTTACATTTATATCGAGGACAATTCGTTGTAGCATGATATTGACATCACTCAATATTCATTTCATACAGAGCGTCAAAAAGTCATGAAAAGGAAAGCAGAGAATGGATCGCGATTTATGAGGGAGTACCGTGTTTTCACGTCATAATAAATTGAAGGAGTATTGGAAGAAGCTCGTTATGCTACCTGACAGTTTTGAAGTGTCAACTTCCACCTTCGACCTATTGCTCCCCCGGCGATTACTTTCACTCGACCTAACGCGCTACTGCCCAGTCGTCCAATCATACATGTGTTTATGGGAATTTCTGTCGGATGCATCGAGCAAGCGTAAGAAAGACGTAGAATAAATCTACGAAGCTGGAGCAGCCTCCTCACGGGGACCTCCGGCACCTCCACGTCCACTTCCACGTCCAAATCCACCACGGCTATAAGAATGAATTAGGAATGTCCATAAAATACGATAGATGATATGTGAAACTTACAATTGGGGAGCGAACTCTCCTGGGGCAGCACCTTCCTTGGTCTCACCACCCTCACGTCTGCGGTAATCACCACGGTCGGCACGGTCACCACGGTCTCCACCGCCACGTCCACCACGGCCACCGAATGGCTTGCGCTCAGAGCGTTGCTCATCACCACCCATCATACCACGAGGAGGAGCGTGGGATCTTTGGACCTTGATGTGTGTAGCTGGGACAATCTCAGCGGGGAGATGAAGCCATTCGCGGAGATAGTCGAGACCCTCTGCGGTGAGGGTATAGTAGTAGTATTGCCAAGAGAATTGAGTCTTGACAAATCCACGGGAGGTCAAAGATTGACAAGCCTTGACAACGTAAAGGTTACGGGTGTCAATGTCTGGGTGCTTGTTTTCGTACTCCTTCTTTGCGACAAGTACGCCCTCACGGAACAAGTACTCATGGATCTTCTTGCGGTCAGCCTTTGGGATAAGCCTATAAATTGATTAATTAGATTTTTTGTAAAGATACAATCATGATATTTGTCAATATCTTACATCTTGGCGGTTTGGTCGAGGTGCTTAAAAAGTTGTCGTTGTCGAGAGGTGTTGAGTAAAAAATCGAAGCAATCGAAGATTTGGATAATTCGAATTTGTGCGGTGCAAACGCTAGCAAGCGAAAGTGTGGCTGAAGCTTGAGTTCAATATAAACTTGCACGTGATTACAACTACACCTTCAGCCACTTTATGGGCTTCTTATCAGGAACTTCAACCCTATCCTACCGAACAACATCAACGTCTTCCCAAGGCACGATCAAACCCAGAATTATACTGACAAACACTATCCAATAAATCGACGATATGGTTTCCCAAACAGTCAACGTTTTGTTGACCTCATTTCCCGGATTGAACTTACCATCAACTCTATCGCTACCGTTACCTACCACAACAACCATCACAGAGCTTCAAGACAAACTTTACGAGCGCATACCATCTCAAGATCGTCGCCTCATCCTCACGACTATCTCAAACAAACTACTTTCCGCCGAATTATCCTCCCCAATATCAGATTTGTTATCTAATCCAGACGATGAATTCCTATCTTTACGACTCTCAGCGCGATTATGTGGTGGCAAAGGTGGTTTCGGATCCCAACTTCGTGCTGCAGGAGGTCGTATGTCATCGAAACGTAAGAAGGGCCAAGGTGATCAAAATGGATCAAGTCGAAATTTGGATGGTCGTAGATTAAGAACAGTCAATGAAGCAAAGGCATTAGCTGAATATCTAGCAATCAAACCAGAAATGGCTAAGAAAGATAAGGAAGAGAGAAGGAAACGATGGGAACAAGTTGTGGAATTGGCAGAACGAAGGGAGCAGGAAATTAAGAATGGAACGAAGGGAAAAGTAGATGGTAAATGGGTTGAGGATAAAGAGGAAGCTGGAGAGAGAACGCGTGAGGCTGTCATTGCGGCTATGAAGGCTGGAGATTTTAAGGATAATTTGTTGGCAACGTCTTCAGGTAGTGGCTCAGGGACCGACGGCTCTACCAGTGAAGAAGATGACGTTATGGGTGGCACAGACTCGAACGATACGACCGCACCCTCTGAATCCGCACCTAGTAAACCAAAGGCTATGAGTTTCTTTGGCTTTGATGAAGATGATGAGTTCATGAGCGATGACGAGGAAGAAGACGAGGAAGAAGAAGAGGAGGACGACGAGAAGGACGACGTTAAAGCCAAAGAGCCCGAGGTCCCGGAGGAAGAAGAAGAAGAGGAGGAGGAAGAGGTTGAAGAGATTGCCAAAGAACCAACACCACCTCCAGCTCCTGCCCCAACCAAAACTAAAGGCCGATCAAAGATCCCCGTCAAAGCTCCCACAAAAGCACCAGCATAGGCCGCACCTAAAGCTCCCGCTAAATCGCCTGCAAAGGGTAGAGGAAAAGGCAAGGGAAAGGCCAAATAAATCGGAAACTGTAGGCATTGGTATTACTGGTACTCGTATAGCGTGGCGTTTGGGATCATGGATTACAGGAACGTATTCACGGTCTGCTTAGGGAGGGGGATATTTATCATAAATTGTACAATAATTAGTTTTGAAGCGCAATCGACGTTGGTCTAAATAACATACTTTTCAAATTTTCAACAACTGATTGATACTGTGCTACCTGTCGGTCCTGATAATGTATACTGTATTGTGTGTGGGAGATACATGATAGCGAGGTAGGTAGCTTGCGCTCTGATAACTACTCGTACATGATACCTTCCTCCCACTTTCTCAATACTCATGATATGATAAGCAACTACGAGTACATCAGCATAATCACAAACCCATCCATCCCTCCCTCCAAGATTCCCTTTATACATCAATACAACAAACATTCCACACGAAACCGAAATGTTAATGTTAATATCAATATCAATCTCAAGAATCCTGTGCCTAAGAACCCCTGCAAAAATGAACCTCTTTGACTACCTACTTAGTAGAATCACCTTTCTTATAGGATAGGAAATAGGAAATAGGGAATAGGGAATAGGGAAAGGAGAGGAAGAGGAAGGGATTACGAAAAGTTACTGGAATAGATATGCTGGCAGGTAGAGTATTGTATCTGTATCTGTGAGTTGTAAGTTGTAGTAAGTTGTATATTGATGGTTGATGATTTGATGAATTGATGAATTGATGACGGAGAAATATAGATGTGATGGGATGTGATGTAATCCTCCTTTATTGTTTTAATATATAACAATCTCTATATCTATCTCTATCTCTATCTCGATCTCCATCTCCATCTCCATCTCCATCTCCATCTCCATCTTCATAACTGCGTATCTCGATAGTCCAAGCAAGTCCAAGTCCAGTCAATGATGCACATACAAATAAGAGTACAAGTCAAGCGACTCAAGCTCATCAAAAGATAATTCTAGTATCCAAGTATCCCAACAATTTAGCAACTTAGCATACATACATATGCTCCCTCACCTCCCTCACCTCCCTCACCAAGTTTTCAAATTCAAGTCAAGTCAAGTCAAGTCAAGTCAAGTCAAGGCAACTCAAGTCCTTTTCGAACATTATATCACATTACATTACATTTACATTTATAATAACATAAGTACAGCCCACGAAATCTTATATTCTGTTAATATATATATACTCGAGTATATCATTTTAGATAAGATAAGACAAGAAACTCTGCAAGAAATTTCATATCCCGTTGCGAAAGATGATTGAGGTTGAGATTGAGATTGAGATTGGGGTTAGAGTTGAGATTGGTTTGGTTTGTTGTAGAGAACACTGGGCGCTTGGTTGTGTTATGTTATGTTGTGTTGTAGAGATTGATATATACTACCATGGGTATTTATATCCTTCTCCTTCTCCTTCTCTTTCTCTTCCTCCTTCTTTTCCCTTCTCCTTGTCTTCCTCCATCTCCTTTCCCTTCATGTTTTAAAGACGCGAATTAAAAGCCAGAGATCAACAATAAACATACAACGACAAACTCGTATATTCGCCATAATTTATAAGAGCAGGAAGAAAAGAAGCTTGCCACTTATTATTGATGTATATATTTCTACATTATCTCATGTACCCAATTTATTATCCCTTACAAAAAAAACTAGTGGACAAACCTTACCGCCCTCGCCCCCCATCCCCCCTTCTCCCCATCACCCCTCCACCTCTCCTTCCAACACCCCCTCACAGAAGAAAAAGCGCGCCTCCCCTTCCCTAAGCTATCCTCCGGCATCTGGACAGACACTTAAACCCTCTCTCCTCTCTCCTCGCGCACAATCCCCTCAAAGTGAACAGATTCACAACCGCAACCACAACCGTACCTGCAACCCCAAAATCCAAACTTCAAAAACCAAACCATCCAATTTCCCTTCCCACTTCCCACTTCCCACTTCCCACTTCCCATTACCATTCCCCAAACCCCATCTCTGCACATTTCGAGCTGCATATCTAGCAAGCACCGATATTTGAGCGGAGTAAGATTAAGATTGGAGCCGTGGCGGACATGCGGGCGTGCAGGTGTATCGGATATCAAGGCTGCGGCGATGAGAAAGAGGAAGTGTCATACTGGTATGGTATGTTATAGTGCACTTTGTGATAAAGCGGGAGATGTGGTGAGATGGTGAGATGGCGAGAAATAGATATTAGAGTAGATGGATTGATGATAACTTATATATCATTCACCGATTTTGAAAATCGCTCGCATGGTATGCTATGCTTACAGCAGCAAAATTCATTCTTCATAGTCATAACAAGCTTCTGAATTGGGCAATCTAGCACCCACAAGTGGCCTACTCCTGTACTCTATCTATGAAAGACACTCTCCTTAGATGTGCTAAAAAGTCCCACTTTGAAACCTAGGTCGAAGAAACTATTCCGAGATTCGTGTAAGTTTTCACTGGATATTAGATGTCCAGCGGACCAAAAGCTGTTAAATTTGAGACAGAACTTGGGAAAATCTTTGAAGTTGATCGCTGCAAGTGAGCCTGTTGCGACTCTTGGAGCTAAAGGTAAAGGGTACGCTATGAATTGGGAATTGGATATAGGTTCTCCGGCTGCCAATTTCAATGAAGACTGTAATCCGATGTGTAGAAGAAAATGCTGGAGATTTGGTTGGAACAGCTTCTGATGCCGAGGTCAGCCTGGAGCTGTCTCCAATGCTTATGTGAAAAGGGTGCTAGGTGCTAGACATGATGGGTAAGAATGACAAACAGATGATGATGGCCTCACTGAAAAGGTTTGATTTAGCGTTGATATTTAGCGTCGATACTTCGAGACATGCTCCAACCTCCATATAAGTAGGCCTTGCCTTTCATAATCATACTGAGATACTACTGACCTCAGATTGGGATCTTTGCACTCCGTAAGTCATAACCCAGCCGAGTTCCATAGTTCAGAAGACTGCGGACATGGAACATAAGTCTTGCTTGGAGCGATATTGAGGTACAACCACTTGGGAGCTTCGAGAAAAAACCTCGAGGACCGTAAAAAGAAAAAGTCATGAATGTCAACATCTATTTCCACATTATATCAAAGCACATCTGATCAAGTTGAAACGCCTCTCTCATCAATTCGCATAATGACTTTGTATGATACACATCCATTGCAAACGTCTCCTGCTCTATCCCACCATAATGCCGCTCTATACAATCCAATTCCTTACTGATCCAAACGAGTCGGGAATGTTCCGTTCTCTGTAATCACCCAAATTAGTCAAATCTTCCCTTCCCGTTCCCTTATGAATCCAATACTAACCACGCTGATCATCCCATCTCTCGACCCAGGCACTTGGGCATAAAGATTTATAAGCCAAGAAAAACTGTTCCCTTATCAGTATATTACCCCCATCGAGATCGGTCGCAGGAACGTACTTGACGACATGGAGCGAAATCCTCGCCCTTGGCTAAGATACACTTGTGGTAATCGACATAATTTTGCCAGCAATGTTTAGTTTGGTTCTGGTTTGGGAATCGAGCATCGAATCCTATATCATATCATCAGCCTGCCATCTACCTCGCAGATATCGTCGGGAGGTAGAATTTGCATACCAGCTATATATGAATCCACAGTTAGCAGTCAGACCATTTTTATATATCCAGACAGTGGGCGGGCCCCCGGGAAGCACATACCAGTAACGAACTTGAACGGTTTGGTCTCGCGGTCTTCAGACATATTTATTTATTTATTTTCCGGCGATCACAGAATTTTAGAGAGATTGTGGTGGTGATGGCGATCAATTGGGACGATTGAGGTGAGGTTGATTGGAATGGGCCTGCACTTTCTGTCGTCGGGATGAGGTCGGCTAAGACCGACGAGCTCGCTAGCGCGGAAATGCAGGTCCTCCAAAACCTCGGACCACGAAGCTCAGGGTAAATTAACTATCGGAAAGACTTGAAGATTGAACAACGGTTCAAGATGCAACCTACTACTGTTACTCGAATGTTTCAGCCGACCAAGAGGATGTGGGCGCCTATGCCTGTAAGTTTGCCGTGGTTTATTCTGGATTTGAGGGTGGGAGGGCTAATGATGTTTGGCTTTACAGAAGGAGGAGCATAGCGGTATGTTTAACCCCACGATTAGTGAACACTTCGAAATGTGGAGGGAAAGGAGGCAATATCAATTAGGGGATGTGTATTGGGTAGATGGGAACGGAGACTGACACCAAAATCAATAGCCCACACAATCTCTCAACGATTGCGCCAATGGAAGAAGATTCCTCCCGAGTTGGTTCCTTTGGGTACGTTTACATATTCGCCGGAACATTCATCACCAGGGCTTACACTAATACCACGTGAAGGAATCGTCGTCGGTGTCGCTGTCGGATTCGCCGCTTACTCTTTGGGTCGCAAACTTTTCGTTGATAAAACTATGCGTCTCTCTCGCCAAAACAGAAAGGAGTAAACTATTGGTCTATAAGGATTTTGGTGGACGGAAAGACAATGGTGCGAACGGGCGAAAAGTTCATTTGTTCTCGAGTGTGGCATGTTCGAGGGAAGGAGGGAATGAAGGACTTAAAATGCATGCATTGGCCAAACCTCGAATGACTTGTACAGAAATGATCCTTATCTCTCATGAATACAAAATTCCTAAACCTGATGCTCTCATGCTTTGAAACTCCACCATATGCCCTGAAAAGCATATCATGTTTTCTTCCTACCAGTTGAACTCCTTTTGCTTTACTCCAGAAACTCCTTAAGTGACACATTTCATGACTCATATTCTATGAACATATCGCTCCTTCAAGCCGGCTTTGGCCCTGCCACGTCTAAACCTTCTAGACCTTGCATGGGATCATCAGGTCTATCTTGAGCTCCGGCTCTAGCTTGTTCAGCTGCCACTTTATCCTCCTCGCTCACTGCATTCTCTGCTAGCCACCCCTCCTATATGAAGAATTAGTGACCACTCATATCATTCCCATCCATCACAGAACTAGATCTCATAAACTCTTACCTGTTCCCACAAAGCAGTTTTGCTTCCCAGTCCCTCGTTCACACTCTTAGGAGGTTTAGCCGCATTGACTTTGATCACCTTGCCGAAGAGTTCAGATTGGTCCATATTGTCGATAGCATCTTTGGTATCTTCTGGATCCTCAAACTCTACATATCCAAACCCCCGATGTGGCTCTGTTGAGTTGGGTCCATCTGCTTTGCTAAGGGAAATTTAACATGGGAATACCAAGATTTAGGGTCTGATACTTACGGTATAGAGACATCTGTTATTTCTCCAAAGGGTAAAAATGCGGCTTCGAGATTTGCGGTTGTGACCATGTGGGAGAGACCACCAACATAAACAGTAGCTTTCCAACGTGCTTGGTCGGTCATCTTGTAGCTTCTTGGGTATTAAGATTCTGGTACTTCAAATAAATCTTTCTGTGTATATCAAGCTTTCAAAAGTCATTCACAAATCGCGGAAGAAGGTGCCTTGATCACGTGTAAGCTGTTTTTTTTAAGGTTCACAATCCTACACCGCGGTGATGATCTCGCTCAGACCAACCGATTATGGGGAAAGGTGTTCACAGTGTTCACATATATTCCCCAAAACAAATCAACACATCACAACATTCATACCAATTTCGCATCTCGTTCAATATACAGTTTTTCCATTTGTCTTTACCCGGTATAGCAAAAACTTGACTAAAAAGGCAAGCTGCAGCAACCTTTTGCAGTATCATCTTGTTTATTGATAAAGAATAAAGTTAATCGAGACGAGACAATGGTCCGTCTAAGGGAAATCCCAAGGACTGCGGCCTTTGCCTGGTCTCCAGGTCCAAAATCTCCACTGGTAGTTACGGGAACAAGGGCTGGGGCTGTTGATGCAGATTTTTCTGATGAGACGAAGTTGGAGCTTTGGGATCTGAGCTTGGATAACGATGAGCAGGGTGTGGAATTACAACCTGTTGCTAGTATTAGCACAGATTCTAGGTATGCAGATGGATTGTATTGAGATTGGGAGATGTGAAACTGTGTGAGCTAATTGTTTTGGCCATCAGATTCCACGATATTGCATGGGCACCAGCAAACGCAGACCATCCACGGGGCATAATCGCAGGCGCACTTGAGAATGGATCTTTAGATTTATGGGATGCAGAGAAACTCATACAAGGAGCTGAGGATGCTTTCATGTCCAGAACAACGAAACATACGGGTGCTATCAAGTCCCTTCAGTTCAACCCATTGAAGCCACAAATCCTGGCCACTGCAGGCTCTAAGGGCGAGCTGTTCATCTACGACGTGAACGATATCTCGAACCCATTTAGATTGGGTACAGCCGCAGCACGATCGGATGACCTCGAATGCGTCGCATGGAACAGAAAGGTTCCCCATATTTTAGCAACTGGTGGAAGCGGAGGATACGTCACGGTTTGGGATTTGAAGACCAAGAAGGCTTCTCTACAATTGAGCAACAATCGAAAAGCAGTAGGAGCAATTGCATGGGACCCAAACAATGCGACCAAACTGTTGACTGCTACACCCGATGATTCTACGCCAGTCATTCTTTTGTGGGATCTCAGGAACTCAAATGCGCCCGAGCGGACTTTACAAGGACATATTCAAGGAATTCTATCATTGTCTTGGTGTCAGCAAGATGCCGATCTTCTGATATCTTGTGGTAAAGACAACCGAACTCTACTCTGGAATCCTCAAACTGGGGAGCAATATGGAGAATTCCCTGAGGTTACCAACTGGACTTTCCAAACTAGATTCAATCCCCACAACCCCGCGTTGTCTGCCACTGCCTCATTCGATGGGAAGATAGCCATTCAAACTTTACAAAACACAAACCCTAGCGCATCCCAAGCTCCCGTTGTAGGCCCCATTGATGGCGAGGACTTTTTCACCAAGGCCCAAACTGAGCCTCAAGGAGCTTCGTTCTCGTTAAACAAAGCCCCTAAATGGCTTGAACGACCAGTTGGAGCTTCTTTCGGATTTGGTGGCAAATTGGTGAGCTTTAGCTTGTTAGCTACCGCAGCAGGAAAGCCTAGATCTTCCAAGGTTCAGATTTCTCAGTTCACAGTTGATTCAGACGTAGGGTCTGCTACCGAATCTTTCGAAAATGCGCTGAAGGCTGGGGATATCAAGAATATTTGCGAAACTCATATTGATCAGGCCAAGACAGAGGAAGAGAAAGCAGACTGGAAAGTTATTGAGACATTAATCGCGGCAAATCCTCGAAAACAAGTCACCGAATACCTTGGCTTCTCTGAAGTGGACGAAATTACGAATGGTGTATCAGGACTTGACGTAGAGGATGCCGAAAAGACGGAAGCAAGTCCAGTTGAGGCTAACGAAGAAGCTGCAAAGAATAACAGGCTATCTACATTCTTCGATGGCGCCGAAGGGGATGACTTTTTGACGGATATCGCTGCAACTAAGGAAGCCAAGACTGACAATCCTTTCCATTTATTCGCTGAATCCGATTCGGCCTCGGAAAAACAAATTACCAAAGCCTTGATGCTTGGCCAATTTGAAAAAGCGATGACGGTCTGCCTTAAGGAGGATCGCATTGCGGATGCATTCATCATTGCCAATTGTGGCGGAAAGGAGTTGTTAGACAAGGTTCAAGCAGCCTACCTCGCCAAAAAGGCAGAAGGACCCAACTATCTACGACTCTTGACCTCCGTGATTGGCAAAAACTTATGGGACATTGTATACAATGCTGACCTCGAGAATTGGAAAGAGTCGATGGCAACATTATGCACATATGCCGATCCAGCTCAGTTTCCAGATCTCTGCGAAGCACTTGGTGATAGACTCCTGGAATCAGGCGATGCAAAGGATGCTTCTTTCTGTTTCTTAGTTGGCTCAAAATTGGAGAAGGTCATCTCCATCTGGATTTCGGAACTTCAAGAAAATGAGAAACATGGCATCGAAGAAGAAGAGGGCGATTCCACATTTTCTGTGCATGCAAAGTCACTCCAAAATTTTATTGAGAAAGTCACGGTATTCCGCAATGTTACCAAGTTCCAGGACACAGAGCAAAGTTTGACGTCGGACTGGAAATTGGCAGCTTTGTACGACAAATATACAGAGTATGCTGATATCGTTGCGGCTCATGGTCATCTTTCCATCGCCGAGCGATATCTTGATCTACTTCCAGCTCAGTACCCAGCCGCAGAGGTTGCAAGAGACCGAGTTAAGCGTGCATCGAGGAAGGTTGCCCCTTCCGCTGCCACTAGACAACCAACTGCAACCTCAAGAGTTCCTGCTCGTGCTCAACCAGCTGCCTATCAACAACCAGCTCCTGTCACTATGGCGCCTCCAACACAATCTGCTCCAAACCTATATGCTCCACCTACAGCAGCTGCATCGGCTTCTAATCCTTATGCTCCACCGACTTCAGGTGCTTCTAATCCCTATGCACCACCAAATTCAGGTGCTTCTAATCCATATGCACCTGTTACAAATGCCTACGCACCACAAGGCTACCAACCGCCACAACCATCTCAACCAGCTTATGCACCTTCGTACGGAGCATATGGGGCAGCCCCGACTGGTTACGGCGCACCACAACAATCATTTGCAGCTCCTCCTCCAAGAAACACAACCCCATCAGCTCCACCTCCACCCAAAGCTAAAGACGTAACAAATTGGAACGACACACCTTTCGTAACGAAGGTTCCTGTTGCCAGGAGGAGTACCCCTGTCACCAACCCGTTCCCCAATCAACAAGGCGTCTCAATGCCACCTCCAGCAAATCCATATGGTGCTTCCAGAGCGACACCTCCACCTCCACCTCCTAAGGGGTCAGCTCCACCACGTGTTAGTTCGCCATTGACGACCGCACCACCACCAAGACCATCCTCCACGGCCAATGCATATACTCCACAGGCACCACCTCCTACTCAATCACCATATGCATCGATACCACCACCTACCATTCCTCGCGGGGCTTCTCCATACAACCCTCCACCTGCCGGCGCTGCACCAACAAGCAGATACGCTCCAGCTCCATCCACACAACAATACCCTCAGCCACCCCAATCAAACATCGCCCCACCTCTTCAAGGAGGTATGAGACCACCTCCACCTAATCCATATACATCACCGTTAGCTGCGCCACCTAGCCATTACGCGCCATCTCAGTCGCCATACGCGAGCCAACCTCCACCTGCGCAATTCCAAAATCAAGGTCCTCCGCAAGGTCCACCACAGGGATCTCCAATGGGTGGCTCTCGACCACCATCTGGGCCTCCTAAGGCTCCTGCTGTGGCAGCTCCTCCACAAAAACCCAAGCACCCCGCTGGTGATCGATCACATATTCCCACATCTGCTCAAAGAATGGTTGACATTTTCACCAATGATATGCAAAGAGTAGTTTCGAAAGCTCCAGCAAATTTCGCCCCTCAAGTAAAAGATACTCAGAAACGTCTCAACATTTTGTTTGATCACTTGAATAATGAAGAACTGGTGAAGCCCGATACTATCGAGAAGTTGACCGAGTTAGCGGAAGCACTCCAATCCGGAAACTACGATGTAGCAAGCAGGATGCAAGTTGACATTCAACGTGAAAAGACTGATGAGTGTGGTAACTGGATGGTAAGTTTCACGTTTTTCTCATTTCAGTAGCACCATATACTAATGATCAATATAGGTCGGTGTTAAACGATTGGTTAGCATGAGCAAAGTTACTCCGTAGAGTTGAAGAGAACATTTTGAGAGTCAAAGTCAGAACGTAGTGAAACGATGATTGAGATGAGAGCTTAGCATGTGTATATTAAAGCGGTTTTGCTAGAATAGGAACTTGTTCTTCGTAACAGCGTTTGATCATTTTTGAAGTTTGAACGATACCTATTTTTGTACTTGCATGTATATGTAAGAGTAGCGTTAGTATAGTTGAGCAACTTGATTATGAATCGGTGAGAACTGGCAATGCTGTCCTAATCAACGAACGTGGTACCAATCAAATTTGACGGTGGATCAGTATGAAATAGCTATTCGTAAATGCTCAATCAATGAATGCAATTAAATAATCTCGAGAACTTGTAGTTCAATATGATAAGATCTTACAATAGCTTAATTAGAATTAACTCCAAGTTTTAGGTAGTTCATTGTCAAACCTTAAGAATCAGCTGTATTTCGTACCAGACTTAGCCTTGGCCCCCACCTAAAATTCCCAAGCTCACAAGCACAGAACAACCCAACAATAATATTATTGTTCGACCATCATCAGTAAACATCACAAAATGGCAGATTCTTCCGAACCACCAGCTGTTGAGACGGCGTCTCAGAGACAAGCTCGCATTAGGAAAGAGAAGAGAGAAGCAAAGATTAGGAATGGTGGAGGTGCAAGGCTTGATAAAATTATTGGCTTAGGTGGTGGTTTGCCCAGAGGTATGTATATTGTTTTATTTCCATTTAGACCATGTTTGTAGCACTTTAGCTAATGAGAAATATAGAGGAAGTTCCATTGTCATCGTCATCGTCGGCAGCCCTTAGCCCTAGAGACCACGCAGATCCGGACGAAGTAGATATCTCAAATCATTATTATGAACCACAGTCCCGCGCACCTCTCCCCGGATCTCAAAGCAATAGGCCAGCGCAACAACAAATAAATGATGATCAGCTTCGTCAGATGATGCTTGGTATGGATACGGGCTCCTTGGGTGGTACTCCCGACCAAAATCCTTTCGCGGCTTTCCCTGGTATGGGCGCGTCCGGAGAAGAAGGAGGCGCAAATGATCCCATGATGCAAATGCTACAACAGATGATGGGAGGAATGGGTGGACCACCCGGTGAAGGTCAGGCTGGCATGCCTTCTTTTCCAGGGATGCCCGGAATGGGAATGCCAGGGCAAGCTCAAGCTGCCGCTGTCGACCCTTACGCCTATATTTGGCGCATCGTGCATGCAGCGTTTGCATTGTCGCTCGGTTTGTACATAGCACTTACGACATCATTCACGGGCACGAAATATGCGCGCGAGGCGTCGGGGTTGTCGAATAATGGGTTGAGTGCCGATAGTGTGCATTTCTTTTACATCTTTGCAACGGCGGAGGTGGCACTGTTGACTAGTAGGTTTTATTTGGAAAAGGGGAATGCAATGCCGGCGGGGGTGATAGGGATGGTGATGGGGTTCTTGCCGGAGCCGTGGAAGGGGTATTTGGGTATGGTGATGAGATATGGGAGGATTTGGGGGACGGTTAGTGGGGATGCTATGGTTTGTGTTTTTGTGTTGGGGGCTTGTGCGTGGTGGAGGGGGAATTAGAGGGGCTAGGTGTAGGTGTAGGTGTTGAGAAATGGTAATGAAGATTCCTTGTCGATATGAGATCTGAAGATGTGTCTACTGCTATCAACTTCAACCATTTTTCTTGTTCATATACTTCTTCACGATCATCGATACGAACGAAACCTGCAAAGGAGCAGCTACTCTGACTTTGTTTCTACGATTTCCTCAGTCTAATCCTACTAATCACTAATGGCTAGTAAATCATCTCCAAACGTCGCTATACTATAGTAGTTGATCCCCATTTGTTGAGCAGGCTCATTGGTTAGTCCAATCGACCACGGGGATGGCCGACAATTTCCCCAAAAAATCTCCTTTACTTTTCTGATTCGTCGTACTAATTCTTTTTCACCGATTCTCCTATCCTATATGTTTTTGAATTACAGTACCAATTCAAGTATCAAGCTCCTTAATACCAATTGCATTAAACGTGTCAATATATCAAAATATCAATACATCAACATCAACATCAACATCAACATCAACATCAACATATCAACATATCAACAAAAAGATAGGTGTAAAGATACAAAGTAGCTTCTTTCTATCTTTTAGAGTTACGTTACTGATGATATCAGATTAGTGTCACTGTCTGAAATTTTGATGAGGCTATTCCTGGTTGTTAGAAAGTCATGGGTACTACGGGTATCACAGCACTACCCCTCTTCTATATTCACTATTAGCGTATATCTTGTTTACTTATACATTCAATAATATAGCTTAGATTCTATATCTGAATATAATATATATACACTTCTAATAGATTATAAAGTCTATATTATTGATATCTTTATGCAATTTATAATATCAATCAACTTAACTTAAATAAAACCTTTATTTATCCCTTTTGTTCACATTTTTTCCTAGTCCAACTAATTAATATAATATTATCAAAATCCATTGATATTCTAATTATAATCAATACAAAATAGAGTATTATCATTATCTTTAATAGTAACAATTAGAATGAGTTCTATAAATTATATCTAGGTAT